GACACATGCTCTGCTAGAATTCATAGTGAATAGAATACACAGTATAAGTCTGATAATCTTTTATGTTTTTGATAATAATGATATATATACAGTCAGACTTCTCTAAATGCATTCTCCCTAAATACATAACCTCTCTAAATTCATGACTTGGCTTAGTCCCAACTCATATATAACTTATAGGTTTTTACATCCCTAAATGCAATACCTCTCTAAATGCATAGTTTTTTCTTGGCCCTTCATAATGCATTTAGAGAGATCTGACTGTACTCATTATTTTTATTATTTTAGTAGTAGTAAAGATGGAGGAGTTGATATTTATATAAAAATTTATAGCATCAAATTCATAGTTTAGTATAAAAATTGGATTAAAGAAATAGATATTTAAGAGGAGTAGCTAATGTTGAGATTTTTGCTTCTATTTAAAACTATAAACCCTTTTATTACCTTTACTACAAAGTTTAATTTACCCAAAACTATACTTGTTGCTTAATACCAAATTACTATAGCTTGAATTTGTCTCAAATCCCAAATTCAATATCTTAAAAACTTTATTGATTTTTAAGTAGTAATTGTTTTTTTTTAGAGTTTTGGATTTGTCTAGTTTATGCCAGCAAGTATAACCAAAAAATTTAAATTTTATATTAATAATTAACTCAGATACTAATAATTTATTTGGGTAACTCATATAATATATATATGTTTTCTTATGCACAATCACAAAAATTTAGTATCAGCTAAGTAAATCATTTTGTAAAAGTTTATTTGAATATACTATATACTTATAAATATATAATTATAGAACACTCTGTTATTTAATTATTAGATGAAGCTCTTACTTAACAACCAAAAGAGACCATTAGTGTTGTAGTGGTCCCTAATAATAATGACTTCACCTTTAGGTGTAAAAAAAGATCTAGAAACTCAGTATACTATATTTTTACAAAAAAAAGTAATATTTGTAGTGATCTTGAACTCACTAGTTGGAACCTTTTTTTAATTTCTTCTGTAAATATTTTTTATTTCTTTTTTTTGTACTAAATTGGTTACCTTATTTGTTTGTATATATTTGAAATTTTCACAAGATAATTATTGTTTTTTTTAACAATTTATTTTTATTACTGTTTTCAATTAATAAAAATTTTAATATTATTCTAAAATTCTGCTTATTCTGCATTGTTTATAAGATTTAATTATAAAGAAAATAAATTTACTCTTTTTAATAATTTTAGTTTACTACAAACTATAGTTGGTGGTAAAATTACTGAATTACTGCAATTATAGCATTTTACTAGTGATAGAATTAATTACAGCATAGCATCTAATTGCTATAAAAATTATGTACTATAATGTCATAATGCTACAATAACACAATATTGTATAATATTATAATATTATAATTAAGTAACTAAGTCACTCTAATAAATATATTGTTATTTGCCATACAAGCATTTCATTAATATTAATTAGTCAGTATTCTATTTAAGGTGTAAAAAATCTGTATAACAGAGGTGAAAAGATACTATAATTACAAAGAGAACCTGAATAAGGAAATGTGTATAATATAATAAATATAACAAGATGAAGTAATAATTTGTTATAAATATGGGCTCTTTTCGCCCTTTAATAAAGGAGGAAAAAAGTGTTGTATTTGCCAGAAAACATCTTGATTCGAGTTGGTTTGAATTGTTCCCCATATACTCAATACTGTCTTACCTTGCCAAATCCTATCCACCTCTAGTATCGAGTATATAGGGTGGTTTGTGGTGTTGGTTGTGTATTTTTGGTGGCAACTGTTGCGACTCATTGCCACTAACATTTTTGGTGGTGATTGTAAGATTCGGCGCCCTGCTCAAACTCAATGATGTTTTCTTCTAGATTTTGTTTTTTTTTCTCATGCTAAAAAAAAAAAATAGAAAGAGGAAAAAGCCAATTGTTTTTTTTTTTTGGGTCTGTAAGCCACTAATTGGATCCTGGTGCCGGCGTGTAAATAGGTACTGTGCAAGAGAAAAAAAAAAAGATGCATGAATGTTTTTTCTTTTTTTGGGAAGGTACACTGCCTGTAAGTCACAACGATAAAGCCTGGTCTGGTGAGGAATAAGACCTGTGCAAAAATGGTTAAAAAAAAAAAAAAAAATTATTTTTGCTAAGATGAAGAGTAAATTGAACAAATTCAGAAGGGCCAAATTTGTACCACCAAAGGTCCTAACATTTGACATCACCCCCAGTCAAGGCATAGAAGGGTCTATCGAACCAGATAGGAGCAAAGGAAGGTGCCCTGAGTATGTGTT